CCCCCCCCGGCCCCATCTCCGGGGCCGCCCGCACTCCTCCCTCGCATCCACCGTCGCGCCAGGTGGTAGTAGCCCTCCCTTCCCCGCAAGAGAAACGCCCCCCTCAAATGCATGTGAGCGCCGCCTCCGTAGCCCCGGACTTGCCGCCCCTTGTACACTCCAAGGGCCCGGCGGAGAGTGCAACGGCGGCGACCGGCAGTGCCCTGAGCCAGGAGCCGCTCGGTAGTCTCGACGACGCCAAGCCGCTGATGGAGCTCTCTTACGACAAGCTCGTGTACGCGGTGGGCACCAAGACGGGGACGTTCGGGGTGCCGGGGGTGCGGGAGAACTGCTACATGCTCAAGGTGTGTGTTGGGGCGGTGGGTGGGGTAGCATTCAGTCATGACCTCGACGACGAGCGTTCTGTTTTGAGTTATTACTCAAAAACTCTTCTTGTTTTTTATCTTGTACTCTCCTCCCCACCCCTGATTCGTTCGACCTGAAAACGTGGCCGTATCGACCGTGAGGTGGCCTTGATGGATGCCAACCTTCATGGTTCTGCGACAGTTCTGCTACAGTTTTGTTACGGTTGAAGGGCGTGTTCGGGCGTTGGGGCATCTCGACTTGCAGCGTTGTTCGATACATTTACCTTCGCGTTCTGTAGCTCCCCACGCGAGGCGGAAGAGGTATGTCCGGATCACCGCACCTAGCCGCCGTTTCACTGCTGCTGAGACCAATTTATTGCCCGCCAACGCGGAAGTCGCAGCAATTCTCATGTGATCATTGGCAGTCATTCTGTTGTTGGTACAGTTGTTGTTGTTGTTGTTGTTGTTGTCGTTTGTGGTGATAGCAGTCGTGGCGGCCGTAGTGTTTTTGTCGTTCCGGTGGCGATCCGCTCGTTGACGACGGCCGGTCGCTAGTGTGGGCTGCTTGGCCACCCTTGTGGCTCTTGTCCCTGCGGACCTGCTGGCTTTGCTCTTCCGTTGCTCGAACTGTGTCCGCCCTTGCTGATTGGTATTTTTGTGTGTGGGTTATTGTGGTTCGGCACACACTACGGGCTCTTGGCGTTGCCCCATTCGTTGTCGGCGGAATTCCGGCCATAGTAATCGTAGGAGATGGTGCATCACCTGTGTGTCTCTCTCCCTCTCTCCCTCTCTCTCTCCCTCTCTCTCTCCCTCTCTCTCTCTCTCTCTGCACGATGTGGCTCGGGACTTGGTTGGCTCGCTGTCTGATTCGGCGCCGGCGCTCTCGTGTGTACGTGCTGCCGTACACAAGACCGTTTTCCGATTGGGCTCGATCGTTTCGTCACGCCGTTTCTTTACGTTCCCTTGTACTTCTCTCGCGATTCTCCGGCATCCTTCCGTGCAGATCAGCACACACGCAGTTTGCGCTTTGATACAATTTTTCCATCATTTTTCCCGCTACTACAAAGAGTGGCCACAAGAGGAATTGCTCGGCACGACGCACTTGACATGTGTTTTCGCGCGCATGTTTGTCGGGAAACAGGAGGCAAACGACGCGCGGCTGCTCCGCGCTGCCATCGTGAACGTCCTCGAGGAGGCGTGCTTGCCCGGGGTCACCGACGAGGAGAAGCGAAAACTGCTGTCCTTCGTGGTGAGAGCTTGGTGTGGGTCTTCAGATGCTGCTGTCGCAGGGTTCGGCGTTGTTGTTCTGTTGCACATCAACGGCCGGTTGACTGGTTGCGTTCGTTTTTGCGCTAAGTAATGACCGCGTTTTTGAGAATATGAGTATTTAGTCTAGAGGGAAAATGTTGAACAGAAATAGGCTCGTTGACGAGAAACTGTTGGGTTGTTTTTGAGAAGCGGAAACAGCTACCAAGCCTTTGGTGTGGGTTTCGCGGGGGGAAAGACGCAGTTGCTTGTTGAATGCATCGTCAACCCCCGCCCTCCCTACGGGAGCAGTGAGCGACCACAACACCGGGAGGTACGATCGGGGAAAAGTCCATCATCACTTTCCGGGTGACGTTATCCACCCTTTTCACACCAAAAGTTCGCACGAAGTTTTTAACGATTCCTTGTTCTGCCTGCTGTTGCCACGTCGTTCGACGAGAAAGGACACCGTCTTGTTCGTTCATACGCGGGGACGGGGGTACGTGTGAAATACCGAGTGCGCTAGAAGTTCTATGGTCTGCGGCTGTGCGCACGCCTTAAAACTTCATGAACATCCGTGCCGAGTCCTCGCCAGCACTCTTGCCTACTGTTGTGGCGCACGTGGCAGAGGAAGGATAAGCCTCGCTATCGTCGTGATGAGCCTCCCCTCCCGTTTTGAAACGAAACAATGACGGAAAAATTCCTCGCACCCCAGGTCATCGGGGCCGGTCCCACCGGAGTAGAGTTCACCGGGGAGCTGACGGACCTAATCGGGAACGACGTCCCCAGGCTGTTTCCCGAGCTGGTCGGTCTGATCACCCTCACCGTCGTTTCCTCGGGGAAGGTTTTGCCCATGTTTGAGGAGGTAAGATGCGCTTCTGCAGACATAAAAAAATGACTTTTTTACATATATTTTTGGAAGATCTTGTGTCGGTTCGTTAAGGATCGCTGGGCTATTGGAGTCAAGAACAGGTTGGCCGTGTGAGCTTAGGATGCGTCACTGATGGCAGCTGCAGTTGACTTACATCAACACATGTGATTTTCGCTGACATCGGCTACACTATACTCTGATGTGCCCCTCGCCAGGGGCGAGGCGCGCCTTTCAAGTACACACAACATGGGGTTACTTCGGCCTCTGCTTCGACTCGATTTTCTGAGACTTTGGTCACAAACGATGGTCGTCATATCCATCTAGGCTCTTAGAAAACGCTGCTGGACCGCGTGGGTGGGGTGCGCCACGCCAATAACAACGGCTTGCTAGGCGCAACCGCTACACCTCGCTTCCCCGCCCACATGCCTGCCCGTCGAGACGTCGTATGGAGGGGACTACTGTTGAGCACCTCAAGTTGTGTCCGCCAACCTAAGTTGATATAATATGGGAGAAGTCCTCCTGGGACGGAAGGCCATTCGCCGCCACATTCGTAGAACACGCCCACGTTCGTGTCGTAGAGCTTGGGACGGAAGAGTCTTGTAGAGGATGGAATAATTCACGCTTTCTGCGTCTTGTGAAAAATTCGCTCTGGCCAATCTCTCGAACGGTAGGTGACGTAAGATACCACACCCCTCCTGGATCCATTTTTGACAAGGTCGGTTGCTCCACGGCGAAGGAGATGTACACAAGTCTAACGATGCTGTGAAGGGAAGCTCTCGACGAGAGGGTTCCAACGTCGCCGTTCTCATCTTGCCGCTCTCTGTGCCGTGGAGCAATCGAAGTTTGAGTTTCGGTCCGTGGGGTGCGAAATCTTCTGCATCTTTTTTGGAATACGGAGGGAGAGCTCGTCCATGGGCGATTTTCTATTTCGCCTCCCACGTGCTCAATGCAAGGGGTTGGTGCCGCAGCACTTCGCTCG